CCATCAACCAGAGGCGAGGAGATGGTGTTCGTGGTTACTTATGCCCCCACCGAAGACGAACATCCGTGGAGGGATGCAGGCAAGGCCGATGAGTCGGATGCCTTCTGTGACCTCCTGTCACAGGTGCTGGCTAAAGTGGCCCCTCGGGATAGAGTAATCTTGTTGGGTGACTTCAATGCCCGAGTTGGTCATTATGCTAGCATCTTGTCTGGAGTAATTTGAATATATGTGCCAGATCAGCTCAATAACAACGGTAGGAGGCTGCTATACTTCTGTGCAGCCCATGGGCTTGTAATCACCAACATGTTGTTCCGGCATCGGCGCATCCACACAACATCACGGATGCATGCCGGGTCCAAGCAAGAACATCTGCTGGACTACGCAGTGACGGAACAGCGGATGCGAGCCCATGTCCTTGACACCAGGACCTACCGTGGAGCTGATCTGCCCTCTGACCATCGACTTGTCATCTGTAAGATGCGCCGCCCATTCTTCCGCTCCAGTGGTGGGTGTACACCCAGGACCCCATTCCAACCTAAAGTGGCCTGGTCTCGGCTAGCTGATGAAAGTTGCAAGCGAGAATTTCACCATCGCTTGCGGCTGGGGTTGTCATCGTCCCCGACTCCTCCTGATGTCGAGGGTAAATGGGCGAGGTTTAGGACTGTGACTCATGCAGCTGCAATGGCTGCTTTGGGTACGCGGTTCAGACCTCCCCAGAGACCCTGGCTTACAGAGGAGGTGTTCAAGCTGCCTGAGAAAAAGCGACAGGCTCCCACTCTCATCGTCTACAGCCTCCCACGTCAGAGAATGAGGAGGCTTGCCGCTGCCTTCGCTCGGAGGTTCGGAGGGCCGTGAGGCGCTGCAAGGACGGGCGGTGGTCGCGGGTTTCTGAGCAGATGGGGTCTGCCTCAGTGGCGGCCCGGGGATCACAAACCGCTCTTTAAGTTCCACCAGAAGGTAACTTGCAGCACCTCGCCTATCACCGTCGTCAGCGGGAACAAAAACGGTGATCCCATCCACGGCCCCCCAGAAACGCGTTTGCCCTGACAACGCCGTGGGGCAAGGCGCGGACGACCCTGCCCAGGCTGCGGTGCCGAAGATTCTGGCAGAAATGTAACGGTTCGACACTTTACATTTTGATTTAAAGAATTACTAATCTACAACTCATTACTAATCATAACCAATGACTGATTACTAATCGATTATATAATTACAATACCCCCCCCCCCTCCGCCTCTAATCACTGCACCTGATATGAGTTAAGTGATGACGTCACCCTGCTGCTCTATATAAAACCGGGAGCAAGCGAGGGCTTTACCATTCTGGCGAATTGCCCGATGATGCTGGAAGTATTTACCAACGAAACGTCGTACTCAAACTGTAAATGTGGATTCACTCTTCAACACACCGGTGGGCTAAAGTAGTGAACTATTTGTATTTTGTCAACGTGACACTTTTTTTGCTGATTGGCCGTGTCGGGTGGTGGAGGGTTACGACACATTTATAAATAAACGCGATCTAACCCAAAAACCTTTATTATGAATAATATTGGTCGCCAAAGCCTACATGTTAAACTGACTCTTTACTTAGTCACAACTGCAAGACAACTTCTTTGGTTCTTTCGGTAAAGTCACCACGTAGAATGAGAACAAAATAATAAATTGATAAAATAAAATAACACAATAATAATATTCTCACGACGTTTCGGCCACAACACAAGCGGCCTTCATCAGGGTGAAGGGACGAGACTGTCCAGACTGACCAGACAGTCTCGTCCCTTCACCCTGATGAAGGCCGCTTGTGTTGTGGCCGAAACGTATTATTGTGTTATTTTATTTGATCAATTTATTATTTTATTCTCATTCTACGTGGTGACTTTACCGAAAGAACCAAAGAATTCATCTTCTTTGGTTCTTTCGGTAAAGTCACGTAGAATGATAATATTATCATTCTACGTGACTTTACCGAAAGAACCATTTCGGTAAAGTCACGTAGAATGATAATATTATCATTCTACGTGACTTTACCGAAAGAACCAAAGAAGATGAATCATTGCAGTCACGAAAGCTTTAAATCGAAATAGAACCAAAGAAGATGAATCATTGCAGTCACGAAAGCTTTAAATCGAAATAGAACCAAAGAAGATGAATCCTTGCAGTCACGAAAGCTTTAAATCGAAATGCAACACAACTGTAACACACACACACACACTGGTGGTGACCGTTGTCCTAATCGTGCTAACACTCGAACACTCGGGGTTACGACTCAACGTGGCCAAGCCAGGAGGGCTCTCTGCTCGCTCCGCGACGACTCGAGGCTTCCGTCTTCAGTGTCCGCGAGGCGTCTTCGTCACGGACACGAACAGCGGAGACCGCCTACATGCCTCTCGGCATGGCCCCAGGCCACGCCCAAACCCAGGCCACGCCCCAGACCACGCCCCAGGCCACGCCCAGGCCACGCCCGAGCCACGCCCAAGCCACGCCCAGGCCTCGGCCACGCCCAGGCCACGCCCAAGCCACGCCCAAGCCACGCCCCAGGCCATGCCCCAGGCCACGCCCAGGTCACGCCCAAGCCCAGGCCACGCCCCAGGCCACGCCCCAAGCCACGCCCCAGGCCACACCCAGCCCACGCCCCCAGGCCACGCCCACCTTCTCGAACCCTCGAGAAGGCTCTGCTCCCTGACCACGTGACCCCCAAGGCCCCCCCCTGGGGCCCCTGGCCCCCACCTTGATCCGGTTCACGTGTTCGGTGGGGTTCACTCAGAGTGCCACGGCCTGACACGACCCCCCCCCCCCCCCCCGTGGCACTCGTCAACAGCCTCCACGCTGCCCGACCCGGCGGTGACGTCATTCGTACCGACCATGACATAGCAGTGACGTCATGCGAACAGACCCAACACAGTAGTGACGTCATATGTCGTGACAGAAGTAGCCCACCCCCTTCTGAGTGTCTGGCTGAGGTGCCATCTGCTGAGGAAGTACTGAAGGCGATCCGGAGTCTGAGGACAGGAAAGGCAGCGGGCAGAGATGATCTCCCGAGCGAGGTGCTGAGGGAGGGTGGCGTTTGTGCACAGACTGCCCTACATGACATCATAACAACAGTCTGGACCACTGGACGGGTTCCGCAGGATTGGAAGGATGCCCTGGTGGTCCCCCTCTTTAAGAAGGCGGACCGCACGGACTGTAACAACTGCAGGGGCATCTCACTCCTCAGTGTGAGGCCGGGAAAGGTCCTGGCAAGGATTATTCAACATCGCCTTGCCAGGCACGCTGAGGAGAGGCTTGCGGAGCCCCAATGCGGTTTCGGGAAAGGGCGGTCCTGCACGGATGCCATATTTTCTGTCCGTCTGCTACAGCAGAAGTGTAGGGAATTCCAGCAAGACCTACATCTCTGCTTTATTGACCTGGTCAAGGCCTATGATACCATCAGTAGGCCCTGGGCTCTGGGTTGTTCTTCGTGCTTTCGGAGTCCCCGACCCTCTGCTCACGATCATTAAGGACCTTCATGATGGTGAGTGGGCCCGGGTAAAACTACGTGGCCGGGAGTCAGAGCCATTCCCTGTACACCTTGGGGTGCGACAGGGATGTCCTCTGGCTCCCACATAATTTAACGTCATCCTAGACCACCACGTAGTTCGTGAAACTTTTCATGGCAGTACCGGAGGAATCTCCATCTGGTACAGATACAACATGAGGCTGATTGTTGGTTATGGTTGTTGTTGACTATGGTTGTTGATGATTGTTGTTGTTGATGTTGTTGATGACTATGGTTGTTTATTGTTGTGGTGGTTGTTGATGTTGTTGATGACTATGGTTGTTGATTGTTGTTGTTGATGTTGTTGATGACTATGGTTGTTGATTGTTGTTGTTGATGTTCTAGGAGCGATGATGGAGGGAAGGGGGGCCCCCGGAAAGGGGGGCGACCCCCCCGGAGCGGAAGACGACGATACCTGGGGACTGGGGAGACCACGTAGTGGTGGTGGTGATGGTGGTGGTGGTGATGGTGGTGGTGGTGGTGACGGTGGTGGTGGTGGTGACGGTGGTGATAGTGGTGGTGGTGGTGGTGATGATGGTGGTGGTGGTGATGACGGTGGTGACGGTGACGGTGGTGGTGGTGGTGGTGACGGTGACGGTGGTGGTGGTGACGGTGGTGGTGACGGTGGTGGTGGTGGTGACGGTGACGGTGGTGGTGGTGGTGGTGGTGGTGATGGTGGTGACGGTGGTGACGGTGACGGTGGTGGTGGTGGTGATGGTGGTGGTGATGGTGGTGGTGACGGTGGTGGTGGTGGTGGTGACGGTGGTGACGGTGGTGGTGACGGTGGTGGTGGTGACGGTGGTGACGGTGGTGGTGGTGACGGTGGTGGTGGTGGTGGTGGTGACGGTGGTGGTGACGGTGGTGGTTGTGATGGTGGTGACGGTGGTGGTGGCGACGGTGGTGGTGGTGACGGTGGTGATGGTGGTGACGGTGGTGGTGATGGTGGTGACGATGGTGGTGGTGGTGATGGTGGTGGTGACGGTGGTGGTGACGTTGGTGGTGACGGTGGTGGTGGTGGTGACGGTGGTGGTGGTGGTGACGATGGTGGTGGTGGTGGTGGTGACGGTGGTGGTGACGGTGGTGGTGGTGGTGGTGATGGTGGTTGTTGCGGTGGTGGTGACGGTGGTGATGACGGTGGTGTTGATTGTGATGACGGTGATGTTGATTGTGATGACGGTGGTGGTGGTAATGGTGGTGACGGTTGTGGTGGTGGTGATTGTGATGACGGTGACGGTGGTGGTGATGGTGGTGGTGGTGGTGACGGTGGTGATGGTGGTGGCAGTGGCTACGGTGATGGTGGTGGTGATTGTGGTGATGGTGGTGGTCACGGTGGTGGTGGTGGTGGTGACGGTGGTGATTGTGATGACGGTGGTGGTGGTGGTGGTGGTGACGGTGGTGATTGTGATGATGGTGGTGGTGGTGACGATGGTGGTGACGACGGTGGCGGTGGTGACGGCGGTGGCTACGGTGACGGTGGTGGTGATTGTGATGACGGTGGTGGTGGTGGCGGTGGTGACGGCGGTGGCTACGGTGACGGTGTTGACGAGGAGGGGACGACTGTGGAGGAGCTTGTGGAGAAGGTGGAGGTGGTGGTGATGGACGACGATGGCGAGGTGGAGGATGAAGATGAGGAGGTGGATGAGCAGGATGAGCAGGATGAGGAGGAGGAGGAGGATACGCTGCTGCTGCTACAGCGCAAGCAGCGTGAGTTGGTGCTAGCGGCCGAGCTGGGCAAGGCGCTGCTGGAGGCCAACGCTGAGCTGGAGCAGCAGAACGAGCGGCTGCAGTCGGAGATGAGGGACAGCGTGGAGGTGGGTGGGTTGGTGGGTTGGTGGGTGGGTTCACGATGGGTGGGTGGGGTGGTGGGTTGGTGGGGTGGTGGGTTGGTGGGGTGGTGGGTGGGTGGGGTGGTGGGTGGGTGGGTTGGTGGGTGGGTGGGTTGGTGGGTGGGTTAGTGGGTGGATGGGTTCACGATGGGTGGGTGAGTGGGTTGGTGGGTAGTTTTGTGAGTTAGTGGGTGGGTTCTCGATGGGTGGGTGGGTTGGTGGATTGGTGGGTGGGTGGGTGGGTTGGTGGGTGGGTGGGGTGGGTGGGTGGGTTGGTGGGGTGGGTTGGTGGGTGGGGTGGTTTAGTGAGTGAGTTAGTGGGTGGGTTCACGATGGGTGGGTGGGTTAGTGGGTGGGTGGGTTGGTGGGTGGGTGGGTGGGTTGGTGGGTGGGTTGGTGGGTGGGTTGGTGGGTGGGTGGTTTCACGATGGCTGTGACTTATTTTCCATCTCTATCCTTTTGGCTCTCTCACCTCCCCCCGTAACTCCCCCCCTCACCCCCACCATAACCACCTCCATCCACCTTCACCACCACCTCCATCCACCACCACCTCCATCCACCACAACCACCTCCATCCACCACAACCACCTCCATCCACCACAACCACCTCCATCCACCACCACCTCCATCCACCACAACCACCTCCATCCACCACAACCACCTCCATCCACCACAACCACCTCCATCCACCACAACCACCTCCATCCACCACAACCACCTCCATCCACCACAACCACCTCCATCCACCACCACCACCTCCATCCTCCACCTCCATCCACCACAACCACCTCCATCCACCACCACCACCTCCATCCACCACCTCCATCCACCACAACCACCATCCACCTCCACCACCATCCACCACCACCACCTCCATCCACCACCACCATCCATCACCACCACCTTCACCACCATCTTCGCCACCGCCACCACCACCACCACCACCACCACCTCCATCCACCACCTTCACCACCCCCACCACCACCTTCACCACCACCACCACCTCCACCACCACCTTCACCACCTTCACCACCTTCACCACCACCACCACCACCACCTCCATCCACAACCTCCATCCACCACCTTCACCACCATCACCTCCATCCACCACCACCACTACCACCTTCACCTTCACCACCACCACCTTCACCACCACCTTCACCACCACCTTGACCACCACCTTCACCACCACCTTCACCACCACCACCACCACCACCACCTTCACCACCTTCACCACCTTCACCACCACCACCACCTTCACCACCACCACCACCTTCACCACCATCTTCACCACCCCCACCACCACCTTCACCACCACCACCACCACCCCCACCACCACCTTCACCACCACCTTCACCACCTTCAACACCACCACCTTCACCACCACCACCACCACCACCACCACCACCTTCACCACCTTCACCACCTTCACCACCACCACCACCTTCACCACCACCACCACCTTCACCACCATCTTCACCACCCCCACCACCACCTTCACCACCACCACCACCACCCCCACCACCACCTTCACCACCACCACCACCACCCCCACCACCACCACCACCACCTTCACCACCACCTTCACCACCCCCTTCACCACCACCACCACCACGGCAGAGGCTGCACCAGGAGAAGCACTTCCTGCGGCAGCGTCTGGAGCGCTGCTCCTCCGAGTGGGAGTCTCGCGTCGCCGATCTGGAGGCCGACCTGCAGGCGGCCAGCGCCGAGCTCCAGTCGGCACGGGCGACGCTCAAGAGCGCCGACAGAGAGAGGAGCGCCTCCCTCTCACAGCTCTCGGAGCAGAACCAGAGGCTGCTGGAGCAACTCACCAGGGTAGAGAGAGTCTGGGAGAGAGTCTGGGAGAGAGTGAGTGGGAGAGAGAGAGTGAGAGAGTGTGAGTGAGGGAGTGAGAGTGAGTGAGAGAGAGAGAGAGAGTGAGAGACAGAGAGAGTGAGTGAGAGACAGAGAGAGTGAGTGAGAGGCAGAGAGAGTGAGTGAGAGAGTGAGTGAGAGAGAGAGTGAGAGAGAGAGTGAGTGAGAGACAGAGAGAGAGTGAGAGAGAGAGAGAGTGAGAGAGAGTGAGAGAGTGAGAGAGAGAGTGAGAGACAGAGTGAGTGAGTGAGAGCGTGAGAGAGTGAGAGAGTGAGAGAGTGAGAGAGAGACAGAGAGTGAGTGAGAGAGTGAGAGAGTAAGAGAGTGTGTGAGAGAGAGAGAGTGAGTAAGTGAGAGAGAGTGAGAGAGTGAGAGAGTGAGTGAGAGAGTGAGAGAGAGTGAGAGTGTGAGAGAGAGAGTGAGAGAGTGTGAGAGAGAGTGAGAGAGTGAGAGAGAGTGAGTGAGTGAGGGTGAGAGAGAGAGACAGAGAGAGTGAGACAGTGGGAGAGAGAGAGAGAGAGTGAGAGAGAGAGAGAGTGAGAGAGTGTGGGAGAGAGAGAGTGAGAGAGTGTGGGAGAGAGAGAGAGTGAGAGAGTGAGTGAGAGAGAGAGACAGAGAGAGTGAGAGAGAGTGAGAGAGTGAGAGAGAGTGAGTGAGAGAGGGTGAGAGAGGGTGAGAGAGTGAGAGAGAGTGAGTGAGAGAGGGTGAGAGAGTGAGACAGAGAGAGTGAGACAGTGGGAGAGAGAGAGAGTGAGTGAGTGAGAGAGAGTGAGAGAGTGAGAGAGAGTGAGAGAGACAGAGAGAGTGAGAGAGTGAGTGAGAGAGTGAGAGAGTGAGAGAGTGAGAGAGTGAGAGAGTGAGAGCGTGAGAGAGTGAGAGAGTGAGAGAGTGAGTGAGAGAGTGAGAGAGTAAGAGAGTGTGTGAGAGAGAGAGAGTGAGTAAGTGAGACAGAGAGAGTGAGTGAGAGACAGAGAGAGTGAGAGAGTGAGAGAGTGAGTGAGAGAGTGAGAGAGTGAGAGAGTGAGAGAGTGAGAGCGTGAGAGAGTGAGAGAGTGAGAGAGTGAGAGAGAGAGTGAGAGAGTAAGAGAGTGAGTGAGAGAGTGAGAGAGTGAGTGAGAGAGTGAGAGAGTGCGAGAGTGAGAGAGTGAGTGAGAGAGAGAGTGAGAGAGTGAGAGAGAGAGAGAGTGAGAGAGAGAGAGAGAGTGAGTGAGAGAGAGTGAGTGAGTGAGAGAGTGTGTGAGAGAGTGAGAGAGTGAGTGAGAGAGAGAGTGAGAGAGTGAGAGAGAGAGAGAGTGAGAGAGAGAGAGAGAGTGAGTGAGAGAGAGTGAGTGAGTGAGAGAGTGTGTGAGAGAGTGAGAGAGTGAGTGAGAGAGAGTGAGAGAGTGAGAGAGTGAGAGAGTGAGAGAGTGAGAGAGAGAGTGAGAGAGTGAGAGAGTGAGAGAGTGAGAGAGAGAGTGAGAGAGAGTGAGAGACAGAGTGAGAGAGTGAGAGAGTGAGAGAGTGAGAGAGAGAGTGAGAGAGAGTGAGAGACAGAGTGAGAGAGTGAGTGAGAGAGAGAGAGAGAGTGAGAGAGTGAGAGAGTGAGAGAGAGAGTGAGAGTGAGTGAGAGAGTGTGAGTGAGTGAGAGAGTGTGTGAGAGAGTGAGAGAGTGAGTGAGAGAGAGTGAGAGAGAGTGAGAGAGTGAGAGAGAGTGAGTGAGAGAGTGAGTGAGTGAGAGAGAGAGACAGAGAGAATGAGAGAGAGACAGAGAGAGTGAGTGAGTGAGTGAGAGAGAGAGACAGAGAGAATGAGAGAGAGACAGAGAGAGAGAGTGAGTGAGTGAGAGAGTGAGTGAGAGAGTGAGAGAGAGTGAGTGAGTGAGGGTGAGAGAGAGAGACAGAGAGAGTGAGACAGTGGGAGAGAGAGAGAGAGAGTGAGAGAGAGAGAGAGTGAGAGAGTGTGGGAGAGAGAGAGTGAGAGAGTGTGGGAGAGAGAGAGACAGAGAGAGTGAGAGAGAGTGAGAGAGAGTGAGAGAGTGAGTGAGAGAGTGAGTGTGAGAGTGAGAGAGAGTGAGAGAGTGAGAGAGTGAGAGAGAGTGAGAGAGTGAGAGAGAGTGAGTGAGAGAGGGTGAGAGAGTGAGACAGAGAGAGTGAGACAGTGGGAGAGAGAGAGAGTGAGTGAGTGAGAGAGAGTGAGAGAGTGAGAGAGAGTGAGAGAGACAGAGAGAGTGAGAGAGTGAGTGAGAGAGTGAGAGAGTGAGAGAGTGAGAGAGTGAGAGAGTGAGAGAGTGAGAGCGTGAGAGAGTGAGAGAGTGAGAGAGTGAGTGAGAGAGTGAGAGAGTAAGAGAGTGTGTGAGAGAGAGAGAGAGTGAGTAAGTGAGACAGAGAGAGTGAGTGAGAGACAGAGAGAGTGAGAGAGTGAGAGAGTGAGAGCGTGAGAGAGTGAGAGAGTGAGTGAGAGAGTGAGAGAGTGAGAGAGTGAGAGAGTGAGAGCGTGAGAGAGTGAGAGAGTGAGAGAGTGAGAGAGAGAGTGAGAGAGTAAGAGAGTGTGTGAGAGAGTGAGAGAGTGAGTGAGAGAGAGTGAGAGAGTGAGAGAGTGAGAGAGTGAGTGAGAGAGAGAGTGAGAGAGTGAGAGAGAGAGAGAGTGAGAGAGAGAGAGAGAGTGAGTGAGAGAGAGTGAGTGAGTGAGGGAGTGAGGGAGTGAGAGAGTGAGAGAGTGAGAGAGTGAGTGAGAGAGTGAGAGCGTGAGAGAGTGAGGAGAGTGAGAGAGTGAGAGAGAGAGTGAGAGAGTAAGAGAGTGTGTGAGAGAGTGAGAGAGTGAGTGAGAGAGAGTGAGAGAGTGAGAGAGTGAGAGAGTGTGAGAGTGAGAGAGAGAGAGTGAGAGTGAGTGAGAGAGTGAGAGACAGAGAGAGTGAGTGAGTGAGAGAGTGAGAGAGTGAGAGAGTGTGAGAGTGAGAGAGAGAGAGTGAGAGTGAGTGAGAGAGTGAGAGACAGAGAGAGTGAGTGAGTGAGAGAGTGAGTGAGAGAGAGAGTTTGAGAGAGAGTGTGAGAGAGAGTGAGAGAGTGAGAGAGAGAGTGAGAGAGAGACAGAGAGAGTGAGAGAGAGTGAGAGAGTGAGAGAGTGAGTAAGTGAGAGAGAGTGAGAGAGAGTGAGAGAGAGAGTGAGAGAGAGAGAGAGGAGCGCCTCCCTGTCACAGCTCTCGGAGCAGAACCAGAGGCTGCTGGAGCAACTCACCAGGGTAGAGAGAGTCTGGGAGAGAGTCTGGGAGAGTGTCTGGGAGAGTCGGAGAGTGAGAGTGAGAGAGTGAGAGAGTCTGGGAGAGAGTGAGAGAGAGTGAGAGAGTGGGAGAGAGAGAGAGAGTGAGAGAGTGAGTGTGTGAGTGTGTGAAAGAATGTGAGAGAGTGTGAGTGAGTGTGTAAGTGTGTGAGTGTGTGAGAGTGTAAAAGTGTGAGTGTGTGTGTGTGTGAGAGTGTGAGAGTGTGAGTGAGTGAGAGTGTGAGTGTGTGAGTGTGTGAGTGTGTGAGAGTGTGAGAGTGTGAGAGTGTGAGTGTGTGAGTGAGTGTGTGAGTGTGTGAGAGTGTGAGAGTGTGAGTGTGTAAGTGTGTGAGTGTGTGAGAGTGTGAGTGTGTGAGTGTGTGAGTGTGTGAGAGTGTGAGAGTGTGTGAGTGAGTGTGTGAGTGTGTGAGTGTGTAAGTGTGTGAGTGTGTAAGTGTGTGAGTGTGTGAGTGTGTGAGAGTGATCGCGAGAGTGGAGAGTGGACGCGCTTCATTTGAGCTCCCCGTGTTAACTTTATACACCTGGCACCCACCCACTTCCAGTTAACTTCTTCCTCTCAAGATTTTACTCGCCGGCAGGATTCACATCCCCTCTAGGGGGTGGGGGGGGAGCTCTGTGTAGAAGCGCAACACCGCGGTCGGGAAGAATTTAAAGCTCACGAGGAAACAGAATGGCCACCGAGGCAAAGGTCGCGGCCGCCAATCCAATCTGCCTTGAGTCACGAGGCCCCTCCCCCCCCTCCCGCTAGGGCCTCTGCCCCGAGGCCGACCGACCCCGACCCCCCCCCCCCCCACCCCCCACAAGCGCCCCCCACGGCCGCCATCGTTCCCCACGCCCCCTAAGGCCAGCGGGATGAGCGCCGGCTTCTTCCCGACGACGGATGAAGGAGGCCGATGCGGCCTGCCGACCGCCGGCGGCTGGAACCCGTCGCTTCGGCGGCGGCGGCCGCGAGAACATTCGTCTCGAGCTGCGTGTGCCGTTCCCGCGTGCCCGGCGAGGCCGCGTTGGGGCCACGCTGGCCGAGCTGGGGCCACGGGGCGCCCTGTCACCGGGCCGCGGAGGCGGTGCCCTGAAGGCGCGTCTCGGCTCTCGAGGGGCGAGGGCTCCTTCGGCAAAGCAGCGAGAGCCCCCCCCCCCCCCCCCCCCCCCCAGCAGACCACACCGGACCCGGCAGGCCACGCAGCCTCCCCCCACACCCGAAGGTCGTGGCCCCAAGCTTCGCCGCCTCAAGCGACGAATCTCGGGAGGGAGAAATGCAGAAGGTCCACGGATCTCAGGGGGTCACATTTTCAGCGGAGGAAAACCCCCTCCCGGACCTCGAACTGGAAGACAACGGTGAAACCCCCCCCCCCCCCACACCCCCCCACACCACACCAGGAGAGGAAGCGGAACAGCTGCCGGACGCCGAAGACGCGGCGTTCGCCTTCAGCCGGACGCCACGCCGAGTGACGCGTGGGCGGCGAGGGAGGAACCCGCCAAGAGGAAGGAGGAGAAGCAGCAGCAGCAGCAGCAGCAGCAGCAGCAGCAGCGTCCGTCCGGGGGGGAAGGGGGGCGTCCACGGCGGGAGACCGTGGACGACGGAGCCGACGTCGCCGCGACTGCCGTGGCCACGGAGACTCTCGCTCCCCGCCGGCTGCACAGGAAGCCCTCGACACAAGGGGAAGGAGTCGGCGGAGAGACACCCGCCAAGGGCGGGGACGAGTGAA